TGAGGAGGATTAATGGGATATATTGATCGTGATGGTATCAAACAAAGGAAAATGATTTATACCTTCCAGAAACCCTAGAGAGAGAAAGTGATCAGTGGGCGGCATATTAAATAAGATGTGTAGTGCACAGAGTTGATTATGCACATCATCATTTCAATTATTAAATCAAGGCTTTTTTTTTTTTTTCTTCTTTTTGGGGGTTTGATCTGAAAAAGTGGGGAGTGTGTGAACAGAAATTGATATGAAGATGAAGATGATGATGATGATGATGATGATGATGATGGAAGGGGTGTAAATGTAATAATAATGAGGGTCTTCTTATTACTTTGCTTGCAAAATGAGGGAGAGAGAATTAAATAGAATTATTATTATTATTATTCATTCTGAGTTGAAAGAGGAGAAGAGTGGAGAGGGGTAAGGGTGGGTAAGTAAGTACTACTGATACTGTTGACTGGTAAATATATGGCTAAGGTAGAAACAGTAGTGAGCTCTCACCTCATACACAACAACTACCCAAAGGGTAGTAAATGTATATATATATATAACCAATTAATTTATTTAATTATTTAAATAAATGTAGGGTTTTTTCATAGACTTATATATAGCTATGCTTCCAAATGATTATTTAATATTATGAGAGTTAAAAGAAAGCAAAAGGAAAAAGGATTCTTACCGTTTTAGTGGGGAAGAAATTTCCATTTCAGGATTAACAAATTATAATGCAAAATATAATATTTTATCATATAGTATATTAATTTCGGAAATGTTGATGATAGAGTCATTGTTTGCTGGTCGATTATAGTTTCTTATAAAAAAATACATACTTATATTATGAAATGTGTGCTATTTTTTGTTGCATGCATTTTAAAGTATAACACTTAAATATATATATATATATATATATATATATATATATATATATATATAATATCAAAATAATATGATTGTCTTGTCTAGCCATTATAATGTCTAAACAGAAAATTTATGTGTTAACTTTGTTATCATGTTTATTTCTCTAACAAATTTTATTTTATAAATAATTTTGTTACAAATTATTAGACTAAAAATGTGGTACCCAAAAGACCTCCGACCGTCTGGGATTATTTGGCATGATTCAAGCTCCTCGTCGTTGAACGCCTTGAGACCGGTAAAACTTCTCACACTTGAGGAGTTTTATGGTGAAAAGCTTCCAATGTTTAAGTTAGAACTGCCCAAGTGGGCTGCCCGAACTGCCAAATTCTGTTAAGTCACGTTTTTCTGTCCACGTGGAATTCTTATCATATTAAGATTATCCCCCTTATCCCTTAGTCTTTCGTATTAGACCGCTAATGGTGCGACTAACTCGAATCCTGTCTGAAATAGGATGCTGCATATACCGAGCCTAAGTGTTGTCCTTCTGGTCGATCGCTCGACCAACCATACATTCAGGTCGAGTTTCCAGCGGGCCATCCGAGAGCCCTAACTCGACTTGTAATTGTTCTTTTGAATCCCTCTCGTATCTTCTTCGACCCGAAAACTCCTTGCTTCATACTAGCTTTCGACCTCAGTTTGGCCTTCCTGCGGCTTTGTTCGACCAACCGGTTCATTCGGTGTAATCGGTCGATTTATTGGGTTTGTGATGTAGCGGAAGGCGTGAACGAAAGGGAAAAGATACAAGAGGAGATACTCTCTCCAGAACTTGGGATACTCTCCCAAAAGAAAACACGATCAATTATTTTCATTTATCAAATTCTACCCTCTCACACAGCATAAGAATTCTTTAAATAAACCTCACAAACTAAACCTAGCTTATTCTCTAAGCTACTACTAATTATTAAATAATAATAATAATAATAATAATAATAATAATAATAATAATAATAATAATAATAATAATAATACTTATATCTATTCTGCATCAGTTTGCCTTTACCGAGTGTGGTATCCGATATCAAAATGCTAACTGCTAGAAGCTACATCCAAACAGTATGATTTAATTTTTTGTATTTCACGCACACTGTTGATTAGCGAGAGCCACTCTTTTCACAGTGTGTGTATAAATAAGGGGAAATGTTAAGGTCCTGTTACGGAACCATTACGTCGAGGTTTGTAACCGTTAGATCATCATGTAATTGTCGGAGATATTTGATCTAACAGTTACAAATATCGACGGAATGGTTCTGTAACGGGACCGTAACAGCTTCCATAAATAAGATAAAGAATAACCGACATACATTACAAAATGTCTGCCTTATCAACAGATAAAAAAGAGAATATTTGGCACAATCAACTCTTGATCGGTACTTAATATGCGTTTTCACGCTACAATTAGGATCCAATTTCAACTGTACCCGCCTATGCATATATATATATATTATATAATATATAGTACACTAAGATGATCTGATTTCAAATTATGCTTCTTTTTTCATGCAATAGAAATACCAAGATGACATGATTGGTATATTTTATTCCAAATGAGGAGTTAGTGATATGGAGGATTATATATAAATTGCCACCCACTAATAAATATTGTTTTAATAATTATTGTTTTATATTATTTAATTACATATTTTTAATTACATATTACATGTTAGTGCAGGAAATTTTACATATTCCATGTTTTCTTGTCAATTGGTGGAGTTTGTTCAGGTTTTTAGGATTGAGAAATTATTATGTATACATAATTTTATGCATATGCAGGGATAATAACCCTTCAATTAAAATTTTAAAAATACTTTAAATATTTTATTATTAGAATATTCACTTGTGATGATTTGTTCTATATCATTATATAGGAAAAATAGGTTTAATTTATAAGTTTAATGGACTATCGTTCTTCCACCAAATGGTGTTGAGACAGAATTCCACTTGAGCTTCAGCTTTTCATGTCTTGGCGCTTCATCTATCTGCGGGGGATCGCACCCATTTTTCTCCAATTTCTTACATTTATAAAGGGAATAGATTTTAAATAAACAATAAAAGTGATGAGATGCTGATTTATTGTTATTGGCTGTATAGTCGTGAACTAATGAGTATTGAATTACAGTATCTTCTGCATAAAGCATAATTGTAACTGAAGGTACAAATTTTTCAAAGTGGACAATTATGTCTTTACTTTCATTATTTAGGGCTAGACATGGCTAGTCGGACGGGTTCGGCTGGGCTGACGGTCCTTAAAACCCTAGCCCGTAACCGAAATAGAAATTAGTGCTTAGCGCCGGTTCATCGGACTGGCCCGGTCCCACCAGTTCTCCGGCCCACCCGACCCGTAGAATAGTAAAAGAAAAAATAGAGAGACGCCTTTTGCTCGGCGTCCAGCTCGCTGCCCAACCCGGATTGGATTGCTGGGAAAAAAAATAAAAATTACGCCAGTCAGGGCCGAACCGCGGCCCTCATGGTCCGGTTAAACGAACCGGCCCTTAGGTGGCCGGTTCAGGACTTGTCCAGTACCTGTTTCGGTTCGAGTCCACTGGCCATGTCTATTTAGGGCGGAACTCTTGGTGACCATTTTATTTTTTTCGAAAAAATAAATCATGGAGGTCGATTCCGGCAAATAGAAAGTGACGTGGCCGGCCTCTTTGTCCACATGGATTAAAAAATACAATAATAAAAAAATTGCACCACACAATACTAATATATATATATATTTTTTTTTAATTTACAATCTGTTGAGACATGATTTTCAAAATTTATAATTCTCATGACATTTTCTTTAACAAATATGATACATGATAATATTTTTTTTTTCATTTGAAGAAATACAACAATAAAAATTTGCATCACACAGCACTATTTTTATTTATTTATTTATTTATTTTTTTCTAGAAACTCGTCCCTTATTATCTTTTTATTTATTCCAAATTTACCCTAATTCGCCGCCCACACCTAGATATTTCAAAGATGCCTTCACAGGTTCTTCTCATATGTTACATTAATGGGCGTCAAGATTGGCAGGTTCTATTTAATTTGTTCTTTATTTTCTGCTTCAATTGCTTTTTTTATTTTTTCATTTTAATTTTAATTTTGTATTGAATTCTTAATATGAATTTAAATGGAAGGTTGCGGATTTAATGCTTGGAAAGATCTCTGTTCCTTGGCGAACCGTGAAGTCATCTAAAACCTTCGTTAAGAGAACGAAATTGTTTGTTGTGTTTTCGTGATATTTTTCATGTGTTTTTTTGTTCCTGTAACAACAAACTTTACTTCGAGTCCCACTGGTCGTGTCAGATTTATAACAACAAATTTTACTTCAGTCTTACTGGGCATGCCAAATTTGTTACAACAAATTTTATGAAAAACATAAAATTTTTGTACAACTTGATTATATTTCGATCAAACGATTTGCGGGTACAATCTCTATATGTCTATTTTGATTTTTCTCTTCTTGAATTTGAACTTGAGATTTTGAAAGATGGATTTGACGATTGAATTTCTCTAACATTAATTTGGGGGTCGAATGACTAATTCCCGTATTAAATGTTAGGTCTCGACTTGACTGAATAAGACTTCTTGGAGGACTTGATTCTATGATCTTTTTGAAATAGAGAATTTGACTTGAGTAACGTTGACTCAAGAGCTTGATAGCTTTTTTTCGTTTCAATCGCTATGTTGGTTGAACTTTTCAACGAATGCGGCTTGAATGTTGCTTGAACGTCGTTGATATTCTTGGATTGATTTAAGAGGAGTTGAAGTCGTCTTTTTTACTTCTTGTGGAAGAGTCGCCCCCTCTTTTTCTTCTTCTTGGCCTTCTTTTTCATTGAACGGACTTCGGGCGGTTCTTCAAGAACTTCTTCAAATCTTCAAGAGAGTTCTTGAGAGCTCTTGAATTTGAGGCTTTTATTTTTTAGATATGTTTGATATTTTGAGGTGTTGATTTGAGGCATTGAGGAGAGCCCTATTTATATGTGTAGGTGTTGTGGCACAAATTATTTTTAAATTACCGAGTACTAAATCAAAAAATTCATTCCCCGGGTCGATCTCTCGAGAAAGGCAATTCGGATCTAGCGTTGATATTGATATTGATAACACTTAAAAGGTAAATAAATCCTAAACATTCTAATCAAGATAGAGTATGAAGAATTATTAACTGAGAAATAATCTAAAACATAAATCTACCTAGAAATATAAATGTAACAATGATAAAGAGGCTAGGAAATCGAGGATAATTAATTCAAGTTCGAAGCGTAAAGCCGGACAATTAATCGTTCGGTTCAAGATTGATACTCTCGCTTAAACATCTAGCGGTTCGCTCCCAATAACTCTTCGTAACAAGAGATTGAACATAGACGAGTAAGTTCGAGCATACAACACCGGCCAATAATCCAATCCCAATAACTCTTCGTAACAAGGGAAGGGACATCGACAAGTGTGTACTTCAATCCGAAACCTATAGACTATTCAGTTACGAAATCGTCTACCTCGTACGAGCCTAGTTCTACGACTCCTCCCCTTTCGGTTCTAAAAGTCGCTAATTCAATTAGAAGGTGTTTAATTAACTAATCATGTTGAAACAACAAACCCTAATTCAACAAATCAATATTCAATCGTTTCAATCGCAAAATCAAAGTGTCACTCTTCGATTATATCAATAAATTAACCTAAGTGTCACTCTTAGGTTATATCAAATTATCAAGCAAGAATTCATCAATTCCTAGCATAATTAACTCGCACAAGAACGAACAAATTAAAGCCCAACAATTACGAATTAAACAAGAACAATCATCCCCTATCCCTAACAATCGGAATTAGCTACGCAAAATAAATTCAACACAATCAATCATTTCTGCCAGTTCAACCATTTTCATGAATTAATCAAGAAGAAAAGCTTACAAATAATCGCAATCCAAGTGTTGAATCAAAATACAAGCTAAAAATAAAGAAAAATGGAGAAGAAAGATGGAGAAGAGGAGAAGAGGAGAAGAAGAAGAAGGGAAGGAGAAAGAAGGAAAAGAAGAAGAAAAATGGAGAAAAGAAGAAGAAGAGAAGAAGAATATGAAGGAAAATGAAGGGGGAGGCGATTTTCGGACCTAGGGTTCCTCCCCCTTCAAGCTGGTGGTGAAAAGTTGGAGAAAAAACGAGTTTTGGGGGCTTTTTAAACCATTCTGTGAGTTGCAGGTGGTCTTAGCGGCG